GTTGGATAAAACTATGTGCCTACAGTCGTTCCATCCAAATCCTGGAGTTGACTATGCCACTATCCAGTGATGCTTAATAGTAAACTCTTCCTGCCTATCTACCAACCTCAGGAGATGGCCATGGCACAAGTAGGCATGGTCAATGCCATAAGTAGCAATTTTTACTTCTGGGGCAAAGCAGAATGAAAAATGCCCTCAACATTTGCTGGGAGGTTTGGGCAGATGCAGCTAGCGAAGTGCTCACTGGTGGTATGGTCCTCAGCATGCTACATGGTAGCTTCTAATTTTAACTCATTCCTACTCTCTAGGTATTAAGCTCAGTTGCTCCTTATGTTCTGAAAGACTGAAAATTCTAAATTTCTGTGCCCTGTTGCAAAATCTTGATTACTTTGCCTTAGTTATGGCTCAAGTTATGGCTTCATGGGCTTTCTGGAACAAATGAAACACTAGATGTGCTTTATCCAGAGTCTCGTTGGAAAGGTTGGATCAGGAAAGCACACAAAGGACCTAATCCATGATTAAAACATGATGCACAAAAGATCTAAGATTTAATGAGACAGATTCCATAAGATAAGTGGTTATGCTAATGTCATTCTGTGAGAAAACTCCTTGCATCAATCTTTGGATCTGATTGGGTTTCTGGTCAGCATAACCTAGATTCTTAGTTAAGGGTCTCTAAGCAACAGGGAGAGGTGATACAAAGTAAAGCAAATTTGCAAAGTAAAGCCTTTGTCCTCAAAGGTCCAGCTTTCTAACAGAGGAGACAATAAGTATATAAGCAGATGCACATAAGATATGTGGAGAGTGGATCAAAGGCACCCTTTGGCTCATGCATGGATATTTTTCATTGGCCTACCATGTGGTTGGGGGCCAGCCTTTTCCATGAGCTGCATAGTCAGAACTGTCCTACACAGTCTGGCCCTTTTGCTATATTCATGTCTAAGGGAAGGACTCCATTTTCAGCAGGTGAAACCTTGTGGTAAGTGGGGAGAGCTTATGGACCACCTCTCTAATCCATTAGACCATGTTACTTTGAGAAAAAGTCTTGAGGATTTGGCCTGTTTCATTTTTCCTTTTTAGTCTTAGATGCAGGGAGAGGAGTCTTGAACTGGGAGATAGAACTATCTTATCCTAGAGTCCAAGTTCAGTTCAAATGTCGCAGCCAGTTCAGCAGGAAAGTTCTAAAAAGCAAAGGTTTGGGATGTTAGCCTAGAAGGGCTTTGGACTTGAACTCAGTGGGACTAATGCCATGTAGGAACTGTGTTATGCTAAGTTCCTGCCCGCCTCCCCAGACTGAAGTGGTATGGGAGGAATTATGCCTCTCAGGTGCTGGGGGAAAATGTTTATATGCTTGTTCTCACTATACCTTTCAAGCAAATATTCCTTTGTAAAAGCCAATCTTTTGTGAAGTGATTAAGTGGAATTAGAATGCTAGTTTAGATCCCTAAAAAAAGGGGAACCTAACTGATGGGGGCTTGAGCCAATGGCAGAAGAACAGAGACTCCTCAACCCTGTCAGGATACCAGAGAACTATGTCGGCCAGAGTAAAGGGGAACAGACTTGGCCCTGAGAGAGTGAGACCAGGGTCCCGTATGTTACATTTGTACATCCTTGTTTACATGTGGTCTCTCCCATTAGACGGTAAACTCCTTGAGAGCCTGGACTGTTTTTTTACATTTCTTGTATTCCCAGCTCTCAGCACCAGTATCTGGCACATGGTAGGTGCTTAATAAATATTTGCTGATTTGACAAGTTTTGTAATTAAGAGATTATGGGTAACTTTGGAGGAGAGATGCTTTGGACAGATTCTTCTTCAAGGACCTACACATACAAAATACTCGTACCGAAGTATTATTTAGTAACTATAAAAACCCCAACTACAATGATGTACTTTTGATTTACCATTGTGGTAGAATTTCATCTTTTGTTTTACAATTACTATAAAAAGTGAATTGGGAGCTGCTTGCTGTAGGAAGAGGGGAAATCTCTTGTGGTTAAGTGGGATGAAGTGATGATCAGGGTCTATATCCAAGCAGATGCTTGTATGTGTAATAATAGCTAATGTCTCTGACATATTTGACTAAAATGCAAGAATAGATCGTTGCTGGGGATTGGGGGAATGACTGAATTACCTCCAGCAAGCCCCCACTGAGGCTCACCTGTCACAGCCTCCATACACTTTTGGGTATAGTTGATTTTGGGGAAGAGGTCTAGACAACTGGCAGGATAGAGAAGTTATCTGAATATTCTAGGTCTTTCTCCATTACAAGTTACTGCAGAATTCTGGAGTTAGAAGAGGGAAGCCCAGTGTTACATCTGGGCTCTTAAAACTATCCTTAAGATGGTAGGGCAAGGCATCAAAACAATTGTGAAACCAGAAATGCAGCTGAAGTTGTTTTACTGAAAGGCCTTTTCATAACAGGCCCAGACCTTTACACAACACAAACTGCTCTCCACCCAGGGACAGAACAAAGCACTGCCATAGGACACCAGACAACGGGGTTGACAGCAGACAAATATACACTTTCCCTGACAAGGGGAGCATCAGGGAAAAGGCATGAAGACATGCCCAAGTTATATGGGGAAAATTTTGCCTCAGGAAAACCCATATAGTGCCCCTCACCTCATCTCACTTCTCACTGTGATTTGATTCAGACCGCCAAAAGCACAAAAGTGACCAGCCTCGTTAATCTATGGTCTCTGCTAGTCACCCTTCCTCCTTAAATAAAAAGAGGAATTCATAATTAAAAAAAAAAGAAGAAAATTCTGCTTCAACTCTTAAAATGCCTCTTTTGTCAGGAACCCCTTTGGCAATCTGGTAAAGCCTAAGGACCCTTCTCAGAATAATGTTTTTAATGCATAAAACATAAAGAATCACAATGAAAACAAATACAAATATTCTTTTAAAAAGTTCATAGATCCCTGTTTCAGAATCCCTCTCATAAGAAAAGCTGTCAGGGTAGAATCCAGTAATGGTGACTGCCCATCCCTACCTTGATAACAGAGCAATGAAGCCCAGTTTCTATCTGCTACCTGACCTAGACAGGTGCTGGCCATGGTGCTGCCTGTTTCTCTGACATTAACCCTAGCGAGGGGTCATGTAATCTAGACTCCTACCCAACAGGTGAATCACCTCTCTAGCATCCCCAGCAAGAAGTCATTCACGCTCTTCTTGAACATCTCTACTGACTGGGAACTCACTATCTCACTCTGAGCCAGTCATGTCTATACCAGTCACGGCCCCATAAGAACTTTTAGTCAAATTAAGTCAAGAAGTATTTGTTAAATGCCTATTGTGTGCCAAACACTGTGCTAAAGGCTGGAGACACATAATAGACACTTAACAATAAATACATTCTCATTGAATTGGATTGAGTTTCTTTGTAAATGGTTCCCATAGCTATTTATTGTGCTCTAATCTCCTGAGATCCAGTTTGGCATCATCTGTTGGATATCAAACTCAATATATCCAGAAGAGAATTCATTATTGCCCCTCACACCACCACCACTACCAAAGCCACCCTTCCTCCAAACAACCTTGTTGGTGCTGAAGCCACCACCATCCTTCCAGTTGCCCAGATCGACAACCTTTGCATAATCCTCAACTCGTCTTTTCCTTCATCCTCCCTCCCCCATTTCCAATCAATTGCTAAGTCTAGTTGATGCTGCCTCCACAATGTACCTATTGTCCATGCCCTTCTCTGCACTGAGGCAACCACCCCTTACCATGGGAACCTTTCCCTCTACTATTGTATCAGTCTCCTAACTGAATGCCCAGTTTCCATACCCTTCCCTAAGTCATCTTCCATACAATTCCCCAAAATAATCTCCCTAAAGCACAAACCTGGCCATATACTCCCTCATTAACTACATCTCTTGGTTTTCTTCAAAGCTTAGCTCACATATCACCTCCTAAGGGAAGCCTTTCTTGATCCTATTAGCTTTACTTGCTTTAGCCTTCCTCCAATTATTATGTCTATATTATTTATGTTAACATGTTGTTTCTCCCCAATATAATATGTTTCTTGAGGACAGAGTACTCCTTGAAATTTTCTCTTTGCATCCCAAGTACATAGGAAAACACATTGCAAATAGGAGGTGCTTAATAAATGCTTGTTGGACTGAAATGGATCAGAATGAACTGTCCAACAGGGACTTTTTGGAAAGTATCTATTGTGTCAAGACAAAGGTCAGGACTAGGAACTAGGCCTGTAATTTAATTGACATAGAAAATCACCAGGCAACAAAACTAGTTCTACTGGTGCAAGTGACTTACTTAATATGAGGAAGTTTCAGGTGACAAAACGCCCTTCATGGGAGCCTTTTTTCCAATTTATTGTCTTATAGAGTTGTCTATAGCACTGAGAGATTAAATGACTTAAGTGACAGCCAGCATGTGTCAGAGGCAGGATTTGCACCCAAGTCTTCCTAGTTTTGAGGTCAGCTGTCTACTATACCACACTTCCTCTTGTGAGGAAATGCATTAATAAACAAAAATAAATAAATATATAAAATAAATGAAAATAGAAAATTATGCCACGTAGGTGACAATTGCTTATGCCACCTCTAACTAGCCTTTTTGTCAGCAACTTCTGCTCTTTCTTGGGCAACTACTATTTTTTGTATCAGAATCCTAGGACTCAGAATTGAAAAGGACTGGAGAGATGACTAATCCAAATCCCTCATTTTTATAGGTAAGGGAACTGAGGCCTGAGAGAGGAAGTAATCAGCCTAGACTCACACAGCTACCAAGGGCTGAAGACAGGATGCCCATCATCAGTCACCTTTTTCTGGGCATTATAGATAGGAATAAACTCACCTTGTGTAGTCCAGAAGGCAACTAAAGAATGTATCTGACTGCAGCCATCTCATCACTGTTTATTCCAACTCTGATGCCTACAGTGTGAGGACTCAGGAGAAATTCTAGTCATGAAGTTCTAGTCATGCCCCTCTCCCTCCTGTCACTGAAGTTCCCCATAGTCACCACAGCCATTACTTACCTTAATGGATCCATGGTTGTATCAGCATGAGTTCTCCTTCCACCAACACACATCACACCTGGACACTTTTCTATCCTGTGCAGATTCTTACTCAATGCTTGTGAAACAGGAAATACAATGCAGTGGCTCTGCTCCTCCCACTCCCACTTATAATCTCCCTCTAGCACTCTCTCCTCTCTACACTCAACTCTCAAGTGGCTATAGAATGGTAGTAGATACCCTATCCCATTATCTTATTGCCTTAAGTAAATACCCAGGCAGGAGTAATGGTGCATATAGGGCCTTCAGCTGTTTGTGGTAGGCACTGGTGAGGAGGTGGGGCAAAAAGGTAGGAACATCTCAGGGGAATACGTCATTATGCCAAGGATCTGTGGTTTCCTCTGACTCTAACACTGATTACAACCCATTTTTAACTCAGTAAATAAATCTTAGAGGATTCTTGAGACTCAGAGAGATTAAACAATTTATCTATGGTTACTCAGTGTCATAGGTAGGATTTATTCTCAGATCTTTCCTAATTCCAAGGCTAGAATTTTATCTGTAGTACCACATTGCTTCTCCTCCAGGAGAGGAGGAGGAGGAAGAAAAAGAAGAGGAAGAATTATAAATAATATCTCTATATGGGCTTTTCCTCACAACAACCCTGTAGCTCTCTTGCCAAGGCACTGACTTCATCTTCTTCCATTCCCACTGACCCATTGATCTGATAGTGACAATTTGATATTGATATCCCAATTGGGAGAGTCAACATGTAGTTAAGAAATTCTTAGCTAATCAATCCTAGATATGATAAACACTGAACAAAAAGGAAGGAAGACCAGGAGAGAACTTAGTGGTATCAGTATTGGGGAGGGGAGGGGTGACATGAGAAGGGGAGGTGGGAGGGAGGGAATAGGATAGCTAGGGAAATCAAACAGGGAGTAAGAGGGATACTTGGAAAAATCTCATTCTCTAGTTTTTCAGTCTGGGAATTGTGGTAGAAATAATGGAGGTTCCCTTCCTGGCCACCACTCCCCTCTATGTGGTGTCTTATCCTATTAGAATGCAAGCTCCTTGAAGGTACTGGCTTGCATTTTATAGTTGTATTCCCAAGACTTCAATAATGCCTGACATACAGAAAGCATAAAAGAAATGCTTTCGTTCATTCATTCATTCAAACACTCATTCACTGAGACCTAAAGTGATTTTTCATGGGTAATCAGGATAGACTAATAAGCGTCAGAGCTAGGATTTAAACCTATACCTTCTGGCTCTCTCCAATGGTTATGCTGCTCAGAAGACTAAACTTGAGAAATGGAAGAGGTCATCTAGTTTGAGTCCCTTATTCTACTAAGAAGGAAAGTAAAGCCCCACAATGCCACTGTTCAATCTTTGAAGTCTCCATTCTGAGCATAGCTTCATTCTCCCTCATTCACAATACTCCTTTTAGGTAAGAACAAGCCTCCATTTCGTCTTTCACCAGAGCAGTCAAGATGGTTAGACATATCCCATTTCTATTCTGTTGCTGGTGGGAGGCAGCCTGGGACAATGAGTTTCTTTGCTAGACATTGGATGACTTGGATTCACGTCTCACCTCTGATGCTTACTAGCAATATGGGTACGGGAAAGTTACTTAAATAGTCTGAGCCTCAGTTTCTTTATTTGCAAAATGGGGAAGATAACAGTGGTAGCACCTACCTTATAGGGTTGTTGTGAGGAACAGAGAGGAGAAAGTATGTAAAGCAGTTTATATATCTTAAAGTGATATATGGGGTACCCCAGAAGTTATCAGTGTAATTTTAAGTTTTACTAACCTCAGAAATATAAATGTTACAAACTTACAAAAATAATCATTTGAGTTTTTTTGTTGTTTTTTGTTTTTTTGATTTTGTTTTTGTTGGTTGTTTTTTTTTGTTTTTGTTTTTGTTTTGGTGAGGCATTAAGGGTTGAGTGACTTGCCCAGGGTCACACAGCTAGTAAGTGTATGTTCACCTAGCTGCCCCAAAATAATCATTTGAAAGTTTAATTATTTAAATAACTTCTACACTTATTCTTAAATTTTCATACGACAGCTATTATGCATTAATAGGAGTCATTATGGGGGGCAGCTAAGTGGCGCAGTGGATAGAGCACCAGCCCTGGAGTCAGGAGGACCTGAGTTCAAATCTGGCCTCAGACACATAACACTTACTAGCTGTGTGACCCTGGGCAAGTCATTTAACCCCCACTGACTAACCAAGAAAAAAAAAAGAGAAAGAGAGTCATTATGCATTAAGTGTGTGACAGTTCCTGGATGACACTTTCTCAAACCAGTGGATCAGTAGAGAAGTTTCTCCTTCTTGGCCACCTTGGTCACTTGATCTATCTCTATTAGATTTTTTCTTCTGGGGTCATGTCAAAACTGTCGTGTATGCATCAAAACTTTGCCTTTGGATGATCATGAGGCTAGAATTATAAACATAATCTTTTCAGTCACCGGGAAGCAACTGATGAAAGTTTTTACAAAGTTCAAAAAGTGACTAGATGGGCAGCTAGATGGTGCAGTGGATAGAGCACCAGCCCTAGAGTCAGGAGGACCTGAGTTCAAATCCGGCCTCAGACACATGATACTCACTAGCTGTGTGACCCTAGGCAAGTCACTTAACCCAATTGCCTAGCCAAAAAAACCCAAAAAAACAAAAAATTGACTAGAGTGATGTATTGCAAAAGATGGTGGTTATAGTGAACTTTAATGAGCAGCACATCAATATTTTTAAAAGTTAAATCATGAGCTTTGCAAACTTTGGGATAATTAGCCTTGCTCTTTGTAAGTCTGTGGCATTCGTACTTCTGAAGTTACTATAACTGCACTAAGACTTTTGGAATGACCTGTTTGAATGTATCATCAGTTGTTATTCTCTTCAGGCGGAAGGATATAGCTGAACTCTTAAGTGAGCACTAGCTGGCCCAGGGTTGTACCTGTTTTGATGGGAATGCAGTCTGGTGGGCAGTGAGATATGTCGGAGAGCTTCATGGACTATCTTCCACTGCTGACACAATGTGTTGCCTATCCCAATAGAAGCAATGTGTTGCTTTCTTTGAGCAGGCCCCGAGAGAGTGAACCCATTCCCACCCTAGTTTTCACAGTGGATATTGACAGCAGGTGGTAGGTGAAAGCCAGCAACTTTATTGGGGGAGGAACAACATGGGAGTCTGGGAAATGGAGAGAAAGAAGGTGGGGGATTGGGGTGAGGGTGGGGAAAGGAGTGAGGATACAGTTATGAACTACACACCAATAACTAAACCCCAGCTCAGAAGTCAGGGACCCTTGAAAGTTCTCAAATTGAAACATCATCAGTTAAAAATCCAAATAAATTGCATATCTTGCTCTTCCATTAGGTTACAATAAGGAACAGAGTCTGCGTCCAGTGCTTTCCATTGGTAGTGGTTACTGCCAAGTACCTTCTGTTCTTTCCATATGTGACTGACAAACATCAAAACATGATCGGGATGATACCTGACACAGTAGTTTCATAGAGAGTGTCTATGTGTCCTTTGATCCCCACACTCCAAGAAAACCAAGGGAGAAGTGGTCTGAAAACCACTTAGTACAAAGCAGAAGAAAACTGGCACTTAGTTATAGAAACTAAAATTTATAAGTTTTCTATAGAGAAGAGCAGAAAACAAAATTCTTAAACACAAAGATGGATCAGACAGTCATGAGTATTTCTGTAGAAACAGCATGTCAGCAAGGGATTATAGAATCATGGATTTAGAGATAGAATCGTGGATTTAAAGGCCATCTAGCCCCTTCATTTTACAATTTGGGAAACAGAGGGCCAAAGAGGTTAAGTGACTTGCCCAAGATCATAGTAAGCATCAGATCCAGGATTCAAACCCAGGTCCTCTGATTCCAAAAGTATTGGACCCTTTAAAAGCACAGTCTTGCAAACAAAAACACGGATCTCCAGTCTATCCCCAACTGGCCTCTTCTCTCTCCACAGAAGGCAGAGAAAAATGAGATTTACTTATTGAGTGAGGACTTACAATCTTCACTGGATAAATGGCTCCTTGGGAAGCCTGGGCAAATGAGTTCATGGTTATTTGTAAGGTTTCTTTAGCAGAAGCTGGCACGGGGCCTTTTGGTCAGACAGGCAATGGGAAAGATTATTAGACTCTAGAACCAGTGTTCCCTCCTTGGCTCATCAAAGACTCTCAGTACTGGAGAAGGCTTTAAACATCACCCAATCCAACGCCTCTACATTGAGCACAAACACCACCTATGATGAGACCGAGGAGTCGCCGCCCACTCTCTGCTGGAAGGCCTCCAGTGGGCAGTCCGCTCCATTGTCGGAGTGTTCCAGCTGTTCCGAAGCTCTCGTAGTGAGCAAGAAGGTGTCGATCTCTAATTTTCACCCGTCTTCTGGGACCAAGTTAAGCAAGTCTAATTGTTACTTCTATCTGACAACCTGTTGGCAGATAAAGCCCTCAGAGCCAATGATGAATGGGAAGGCTAACAGGGGAAGAAGTGGAGTTTATGGAAAGAGATATAACACGCTCTCCCCCTGCCCTCATCCCCACCCTACGCGAGATGTACAAAGAAAACCTTAGGTGTCTACAAGCCCCTGGTCTCAGAGGATATGGAGACCCAGAATCAGAGGAATTCAGTAGGAAGCGACACAACACAATGATGGCAGATATAGCTGGGACATTGCAGAGCAGGCCTGGTCTGAGGTAGCTGAAGCCACAGGCCTATTAGGAGGCATCGGGCAAAGGGCTTGCTTTGGCTTGGCAGACCTTTGGAGGCAGCAACAGTGATGGTCCCAGGGCAGGCCATGCTCATTGTTTCGGCCTATAGGGACTTTTTCTTTTTCCAGGTCTTTCAGGATACTCCACCAGCAAAAACTGAGAAATCCATGCCTGCTAAAAGCCAAAAGGATGGCAGCTCACATTGTCTTCTCCATGCCATTTTCTCTTGGGGAGAGCAGAAAGAAAGCAGGGAGGTAGACAGACAGACAGACAGACAGACTTCTCTCTTCTAGGCTGTGAGCCACAGGAGGTAATGAGTTGCCTGGGGAGGAGCTGAAGTCATATCCACAGAAGGGAAGTCTGTGGTCTCTCCACATG